GAGTGTAAACAGAGGGATTCCTACAGCACAAAAAAGTCGAAGAAATGGAGCAGAAGACGATCAGCCCGACATGAAGAAATCCTGGATAACGTTTGCCTTGAGATGTGTGAAGGCCGCGGAGAGCAGAGCATCCAGGGGTCGTTCCCATGGCAACCTTTGCCCGTGGAGATCACCGACCCCCCCCCCAGTACAAGTGGAGCACAGATTGTAGGTCACATATGGCACCAGCGATCCATTCAGGTCTAATCTGTCTTGACTTGTGGGTCGTGAATTACACTGGAGAGCTAGTTTACACTGTGGCTCCACTCCTCTCTGGGCTCCATTGTAGTTCGATGCCTGTGTTTACTGCAGTATGATGAGCACAGATAATAAATGTTTATGTCAACAAATTTATGTTTAGTCTACCAGCGGTGAGCAATAATCTGGGAATGAAAGACGCACTGATGAGCATTAAAGAAGAATTCCACATCCAGGACTGGGATTATTCCTGTTCTTCTTCTTTGTGCCTGGTTTTACACAAATGTACGTCTAAAATCCATCCTTGTCTTAGAACATTTCCAGGGTTGGTGCAGTCTTATTGTACATATAAAGACATATATATATATATATATATATATATATATATATATATATGTATATACCCACATAAAAAGAAATGTGTGTTCTGTTTTAACTCAGCCGTGAAACTAGAGCAGTGGGCTGCGCTGTAAAGTGGGGGGGTGACTTATTCACCGCAGTCCTGCTGGGACTGAGATTCAAAAGGGCTCAGGCTTGTGATCGGCAATCCTTCAATCACACGCCCCATCCTTTAACCACTGAGCCACAGGCTGCCCCAGTGACCATGCTTCTTGGAACATAATCCAAACTAAAATCTATATTTTAGTGATCGACTCCATCCTTGACTGTAACAGCTGAAATTAAACACACAATATTTCTGCTGTTTTTACTGATATCTACCCGCTCCCAGGAAAGACCTGGTCTGGGCGAAGGTTTTCAAAAGGTTTTCCTTCTGCTGAAAAAGTTGTTGATGTTGTTGTCAATGTCTGTGACTTGTTAAAAATACACAGTTACATTAGAGCTTTAGGAATAAAATAACTTTACAAATGTACAGTTATCTAAACCCCCCCAAAAAAGCATCTTCAAATGTATAATATTAATTAATTAATAAATAATATTGCTATTGTTGTTATTATTATTACTTTTATTTCATTCATTTTTATTTATTTATTTTGGCCGTTGTTTGTCCAAGTCTGGTCTAGAATATGTGTTGAGTAAATTCAAGATTAATTATTTTTGCTGAATTGCTCTAATACCCCATAGAATTTCTATCAATTTCTATTCTTTGTAGACATTTTGAATTATCATCAAATCAGACTTAAATACAGTGTAATATTATTTTTACTAGAATTTCCAACTCCAGTTATATTTAATTAGGAATACTTCCTTGTTATATATATATGTTGTGTTGTGTTGTGTTGTGTTGTGTACATACGTTCATATATGCTGAACATCCCAGTCAACAGATGTAACCTAATAAACTCAGCCCCACAGAGACTCACGAGTGCGAGGAGCCGAAGGAAGCAGCGGAGGATGTGAAACACGGGATCCGACGGCCTTGAAGCAGAAACACAGATATGATTTGAATGATTTATACACCCTGCTTCTTAAAAAGCAGGGATTGCGCTCGCTCGCCAGCCTCAGAAAAGTCTTAAGCTTTTATGTGAATTTGTTTTTAAGAGTTTCCAGACATGCTCACGCGCAGCAGTTTATTACAAAGTCCTATTTTGCCCAAGGTTCAGAGAGCTGTTAAATCATATTTAAGGTCACGTCAGCTCCGTGCTCTGAAGATTCAGAATTCATTACACTTACTAATGCATTAATAGGAGTAGGATTGCTATATGCAGAGAGATTTGTTTTCTGTTAGCTTTGCCACAATTATTTTCCTACAGTTATGTGAAAATCAAACTTAACAAACACAGCTCTGCTGCACACTGATAAAACAGCAAACTGAATCTAATCTGGACGGAATGAGCACGGCGTTGAAGGAGATGGAGCACTCTGGAATAGCTTCTTCTTCTGTGGTTTATGAATATTTGATGTGGATCAAAATTAACAGCTGGTTGCAGCTGATTGGCCGGCACTTTCTTGTCTTGATTTTCTTTTTTTCCAAAGCAAAAAAAAAAAAATCTGTTTTTGTTTCTTGTGTTTGTCTGCAGGTGAGGCTAAACAAAGCAGCCATCTGTCTCCCACCGTCCTCCTCCTCACTCCATCTCTGCCCTGTGGTTGGCAATTTCATGAGTGAGCTGGTAATAATCACGGGTGACTGCATTGTCACCTTTAGTGCTGAGATCTATAGGAGAAAGTGCAGCTACATTTGTCAGACCCTCGGCGTCCATATGTGGATGCTCGGGGTCTGAAGTCAGAGCGATCCTTACATCTGCTTTTCATCGCTTTATCTGCGTCTCACATTCTTCCAAGTTAAGGAAAAACAGGGAGTTTGCTTTTTTGGCAGAAACCAACTGCGGTTATTTATAAGAAAGTTAACTGTGACTTATTCTGCAGTAGAATCCAGTTTTGTCTGGAGGATGTTTGTGGGATCTCTCATGTGATGGAAAATAACTGCTGAGACCATAGGTGCAAATTAAGTTTAACGTGTTTTGACGTATTGGAGGAAAGTACTTGCAGGTGTTAATAAAGTCAGTGTCAGGAGTGAAACATCACTGTAACTGTATATAATTTCTTTACTTCCTGGGGAAAAATATTCCATAAGTGAAAGACAATATGTTGGAGCGATTTATCGAGGGCAGCGTCCTTTGGGAAATGATAATTAAATTTATAATCTCTTGCAGTGTTGATGCTTTTCAAAAAAAAAAAATACAAGAGCTGCACATTTTTGGATATAGATCTGAGCGGAGCTGCTGTGATGCCAGCTACGCCTCCGGTGTTCTGTCTCGAAGACTTGAACAGATGCATAAACACAAGAATTTTGATTCAATAATAGTATTTAACTAAAAAATACTTAAGTAACATAAATTAAAAAAAAATACTTATTTTACACTGTTAAATATTTCCAGACTACCTGCTAAACATTTATGGGAACACAATTTACCGTTTTTATGCCAAATAATATTGTTCCTTGATGTCCTTGAATTTACATGTTAGTAACATGCTTTGGTCTAAGAATTTTGACCGGATTCTTTAAACACATGTTTAACAGCCCTTTTCTGAACGGCTGTGTTCTGTCTTTACCTTTAAATGGTAATGAGACACTACTTGTTCCACCCACCTCTTCCACATTGGAATACCTGAGAAAGATTTCATGTAGCCATGGTAACAATTAAGCTGTGAGAGACAGTTATACATTAGGGTCTGCCATTCTGACAGGTATGGCAAACTGTCAGGACACCAGACAACAAACTGTAGTGTTACTGTATATGTTTTGCGCCACAAAGTGCAGAGCAAAGTTAGCCTCAAGTGTTTACATTTTTTAAATTTATCCTTAATAAATCATGCAAAGCCAATGTTCAATCTCTCAGTCTGTTTGTTCGTAGAGACGCTGCTTTCCCCACCTGGAGACATGCTGGTATGAAAAAAAAAGGTGACAAGAGCATAGCGGTGAGGCTAATGCAATCTGAACTGGCCTGTAATTCCCCCATTTCTAAATTGGAAGAATTGACCTTCCGCCGAGAGGTGACGCAGGACTGCACTTGGAGACGTTTCAGAGGCTAAGTGGAGGTTTTTGTGGAGCGGTCTGTAGCAAAGCCTGGAGGCCAAGCAAATATTTTATGAGTAATTTAATATCTGGAACATGAGAGCGCACTCAGGATGCTTGCCCGGGTATAGACAGGGATCTGGGAGAGAAAGGCAGAGAGCAGACCAATGAGTGGTTAAAGCTATACATCAACTTTCCTCTAGGGCTGCTCCAGGAATAAAGAGCTGCCGTTACCTCTGCCTGGGAACTGCTCTTAAAGTAGAATTCCCTGATTCATTTTACATGAAATATTGTCTAGATTTTAGCTGAGAGAAATGAAAACAGCAGACAGAAAGAGCATTTCTTTTTAATTCTGCGGCAAAACATCTGGAACAGTAGCATCCAATGTTCTGCATTTGCCATATCTAAGTTAATAGTCCTCATTTATTACCCTCATTTATATAAATAAATGATAGGAGGTAGGAAGCTCATCTTACAACTGAAAGGTCAGGGCTTAAATCTGGCGGCGGGCTGAAAAGTCTCTGGAAAAAAGGGATTCTGTTTGAAAATAAAAATGGTAAATTTTCCAAATGTATCCATCAGAGGACAAGGGAATAAAACTGAATATTATCTTCTCATCAGTGAGAATCATTACTACATTATCTCCCTCACATGGACGATGCATCCAGACATGGATATTTATCAAATTGATCCTGTACTGAGTTCAAACAATGCCTTCAATGCCAGGCTTAAATATACTATATAATCATATGACCTCAGCAGCAATAGACCAGAATACACTCAGACAGGGTTTGTGGTGTTGTTGAGCATTTTTGTATTTTTTTTTTTTTTTTTTTGATGCAGAAAAACAAAGCATGCAAAGGACAGCATTCCAAGACATTTTCCAGAGCTTTTCCAAGGCTGTGGTGCTGACACTGCTTCTGATTAGAGATAAGAGGGAAAGTACATGTGCAGCTAATCACATTAATGATACTCTAGCTTTGCCATCCCTGGACCTGGCCCAGATACATGGGATGTGTTGGTTATCAGCGTAATTAACAGCACATGTACTCTTTATAGTGATTTAAATGGTCCAAGGAAGATGTTTTCACACTGGAATAAATGAATAAATAAAGACTTGAAGGCAGCGAAAACAGTCTCCGTTCTGTGTTATAAGGGGAGGGCATGCAGCCATGGTTGTGCCCTTTGTTTGGACTTTCTAATTTCTTTTAAATTTAATTTTACCTTTGTGTTACTCTCTGGGTCTGACTTCAAAGCTATTATATTAAGAAATTAAATCTGTATTTTGTTTTGTTTTGGGGTTTTTTTTTTTTTTTTCAAATTACATTTTTAACCCAGGGCAAATAGACACAGTTTACGTAAAAGTTAAACTACAAAAAGCACAAAAGTAAAAGTTTTATTTTGATCAGCATGACACCACATTCACGTACGTTCGGTTAAATAAGGTTAAATAAACATTATTAGCTAATGTAATATGTGAACCTATGAATTATTAGTGTAGCTAAGTAGCCAATAATAAAAAGAAAAGAACAGGATACTGTTTACATGGCACTAGGCCTAGTTTAATATAAAATATTCAATAAAGTCATATAGTGGGGGATCCCTGCTTAATGAAGAGCTCTGCTCTAAATGACCTGTAGGGGAGCCAAAAACGTCATGGAAGTGTTCAGTGATAGAATTACACAGAGACTTTTGTCTTTTTTTAGTTCATTATTGTTTCTCCTTCCCTGAAAATAGACAGCTTGATTTCCTAGACCAGATCGTCAAAGCTCCAGTGGGTCTGGTGTCCTTTGGTCTGTCTTTGCTCGGAGTTTTTATGCTCTCTGTTCCCAGCCAAGACAACCCAGTCTCAGTCATACATTATTAAAATGAACAAAGCAACCAGAACACAGCGAGGGACGGTGTTGATGTCTGAGGTTTGCTCTGCTGAAGAAGCTGGTTGACCACACAGTGAAGTGGTGACGTTCTCTTCACTGGAGCTCATCTGGTTCACAACACCAGATTCAAGATTTAGGAGATCATTTGTCACATGCTCAGTTACAGTACACACGTAAAACTACATCAACGACAACTGTAAGAAACAGGTAAAAACAGGAAAGACACACAAGAAATATCCAGTTACTTTGCATATATCTGAGCTTATGCAGTTTTAAAGTAAACGAGTTTATGTTAGCAGTGCAGCAGTACATGCTAGTATCCTGATATTTACATGTTCTTATAGTAGGTTGGATGGTGGGATGGATGACAAAGGTGAACACCAATTGAAATTAATATTAAAAAAAATAAAAGTTTATATTTTAGAAGGTTCAGTGAATAATAAAATAAATAGTGTTACAGATATAGATTCCAGGTACTGACTGCAGTAATTTGTCAATATCCTAGTGTTTTAACAAATCCAAATATTTTTTATTTTTTAATCTTCGTCAAAACCCTCACAGATGTCATGACCAGGGCTCAGTGCTTGTTGTTCCTTCACTTTGAGCCAGACCATCAGTCGTGCTGCATCACGAGTGTCATACAGAGGTCAACAGGTCTTTAGTTCTCTGAACACCGTGATGTTAGCCATAGCATGTAAGCATCAGTGTGTCAGCCCTTCCCCCAGCCCCAGGCCTGGCTGCCCTCTGAATCTGTGTCACAGCAGATTTCCTCTGCGCCATGAGGTCCTGGGAGACATCAGTGGTTCAACTGTCGTTGGCAGAGGCTGATCAATGGCTCAGACACAGTTATTAAGCTGTGTAAATGACAATTGACATTCTTGTGGCTCTGGAAACTGCAGTGTGGAATCAGGATGAGACTCACAGTGAGGTCAGAGGTCCATGNNTTTGCTTTTAGCTTATTTAATGCATCGATTTTAACCGTGTGTCTTTTTAAATAGTCAAATATAATTGTTTTTCAATAAAATAACATAATACATAAAGTTTGGTTTTTGAAATTATTCTGAAGCCTGAAGTGCCTAAAATAATGGTCCTGAAGTCCTGAAAACTCAAGCACAGAGGAAGTGAAGGGAAAAAGAAAATCACGTCTTGTTTGTTTTTACAGTTTCTCTCCGTTTCCTCTTCGATCGAAGATGTATTTCTGTGGTTTTAAAACTTAATGTTCGTGTGCGAGTGACTAATAGAATATAAGGAGAGGAGCTAAAAAGCTACAACTTTAAAAAATAAAATAAAATAAAATAAAATAAATATTTCATCTATTAGCATTAACATCATGTAAAGCAGGTCACAACCAATAATTGTACAAACCATGTGAATGGCTCAACAAGCATGAAGAAGCATTGGCAACAGATGGAGTTTTCCCCCAGTGCAGTGGCATCCTGTTAAATGCACATCAACCCTGCAATTAGTTTGAAGCACTCACATACACACAGACACACACACACGCTCACACAACACATGAACAACCATGCGTTGTGGATCCATTTATGTTGTGCTGGTGACACTGAGGGCCATTGGCTGACCTACATAGACCTCTCAGTGATGGCTCCATCCATATGCCCTTCTCTCTGCTCTAAGGTGAAAATAGGTCAGGGGTTAAGAGACAAAGTAAAGACACAAGGAGTCAGACGTGTGCTGCATGGAGGGTGATAGTAATAAAGAATACAATTTCACTGTGTGTGTGTGTGTGGGTGTGTATGTGCCTACACATGAAGGCATGAACTTTCTAACTTTTCAGTCCCATGTAACTGTGAGCACTTAAGAGAGTTAATTAATAAGTCATCAGCGGGCCTGATACTGCAGGGTTTAATGTAGTTTAGTGTCTTAACGCAGCGCTGCCGGCTGAATTATCTGCTCCACTTCCTGTTGATCCCACGCAATGTTAACAGTGAAAAAGTGAAGTCATGACTTAATGCCAGGACACATTGAAATAAGATGGAGAAATTAAAGAACGTCTGGACAGAAGGTTCCACCTATCAGAACGGTCAGAGCTGGTCTACATTTATTGTTTATTGATTTTTTTTTTTTTTTTTGGTTCTGTTACGGTGACCAAAGTTAAAAAAATAATAGGGTCAGTTGTACTCTAGAGGAGAGGTTTTCAACAGGGGGTCTGTGACCCCTTTGGGGTCAGTGAAGATCCTGAAGAAAACATTATGGTAACTTTTTATTAATTATATTTTTTTTTCACCTGAGATAAAAAAGACATTTATATATGAACCTGTACTTGAGTAGCTTTATAATGAATGCCGAATAGGAAGGTATGTTGACACATGGCACTCGGTCCAGTTTAATATAATAATCATCATTTTATAGACAGTATGTAGTACCTTGTCCCTGTTCTCCATCAGCCCTTTATGGTGATGGTGTTGTAATACTACTGTAGTACTAGTAGCAGTGCTATACTCCATAAGTTACTGTAAGACAACAGTTATGATGTAATATTGATAATATAATATGGTAATATTGTTCCATTTATGACAAACAACATTTGTCAAGCACATTTTACCTGAAATTATTAGACACCATTACATATGTACATTATAGCCGACTGGATAGAATCTAAATTTAAGTTACGGTCCAGTCAAAATAATCAGTCCAAATCAACACTGACGCTATCAGGGGTCTAGAAAGAAACTTTTTACACAAGATTTGTTTGGTCAGAATAAAATGTGACTTTTTCTTTCAGTGATGTGTTGTTTGTTTTGCAGTGTTTCCAGTCCAAAAAGCATCAGTGTAGAAAAATGCTGAGCACTGGTGCAGTAGCGTGATCATCCATCACACATCTGTGCCTCTACAGCGATATTGCCAACGTAAATCCGTGCTCACCGTCACTGCCTTGTCTGCAGTCATGTGATGCTT